CCAATGTGCCTTTCATGGGCAGTGTAGACAGCAGGTGCTTAGTGGGTGCTCAAAACAGAGGATACAAAAGGCTGGGGACCTGGGAGAAATGGACGCTCATGACCTGGAGATGCCTGGGCCCTTCTGCAGCGGGAAGCCGCTGGTCTTGGCCGGGCTCCATGGGAAGGAAGGGTGTCGAGGCAGAGAGGCTGCGCGTGTGGAGCTGCCAGCGAACAGACTGTTCTTGGAACGGCTGAGGGCAGCAAGCCATGGCCAGGTTCTGGTCTGCAGGGCCAGCAGGGCAAGGCAGGTCCATGTGAGGCCTGTCATCTGCGCGTGGCTGAGGCTTGTCATCCCCAGTGCTCTTGGGACCTGAGGCAGGGAGAGGCCTAGCCACATCCAGATGGGCCATGAGGGGAAGCCCTGCCCACCCACAGGGGACAGGGTGTATAGGGGGCACCGAAGGGAGCCTCCACCCACAACGATCTCCCAGAGCTGGGGGTTTCTGGTGGGTGCTCGCTTGTGTCTGGCAAACCCTTGTGGGCTCTCTGTAAAGGACCCCCCAGATGGCACAAATCAGGGGCCGAGAACAGCCTCAGCCGAGGAGTGCGGCGGAGGGCGCAGACGGGTGTGGGGCCCCTTCCGCAGCAGCGCGTCCTGCGTCCTCCAGCACAGCACTCGACTGTGTAAATATTTTTCTTAGGAGCGGGAGAGAGCCTCCATTCATCGGCTGCTCACACTTGAAAGAACTGAGAAGTATCTGTTTAGGCATAAAAGCTAAAAACAGTGTCCACAGCTCCTTAAAAAAATCATTTCTGCAGCTCAAACACAGCCAAGCTGCTTTTTTTTAATGCAAAAAATAAATAAATATGACCCCACTCCCAGTTGAGAGCTCAAGGGTTTGTGTCAACATGGCTGGGCCTTTGCTCGGGAGCCAGAGCCGGCCCAGTGACTCAGTGCCTTTGCTGGTGCTCCTCCGCTGCCCGTGGGCTGCCACCCCGCTTACCCAGGCCAGTGCCACGACACAGGGTGCCCTCTCCCAGCCTGTCCTGGCCAGCCTGAGGTGCGGGTCCCAGGCCTGGAGCTCCTTGTGCCCCTGTGTTCACCCAGCGGCCTCTGTCTCTCTGGGGGCCGAACTTAGTACGAAGAGCCAGACTGGAGTGTGGCCTGCACTCGGCACACCTCGACCCTCCCCCTGTGCCTCAACTTCCCCAGCTTCTGCTTCCTGCCTATAGGGCATGGTGGCCGTCTCCGCAGGAGCAGTGTGAGAAGCAGAGGTGATTTGTTCCCCACTCTGCATCCCAGGAGGCTGACCTGCTCTGTCATTGTTGTCCTCTCCGTCTTCAAAGCCACCTTTACACTAGGGAAACTGGCAGCAATCACAGGCTTTGGCTGGGATGGAAAATCAAGTATGAAAATTGGTCTTGCAAATTCTATCTTGCCAGGGTGAGATGGCTCTGGGCACAGAGGCTTCATAAGTCTGAGGTTTGGTGCACAAGACCCCTGCTTCTGGGGCCTGACACCCTGGAAGAAGGGCAGTCACGTGAAGCCACAGCTCTGACCGCGAGGATCACCGGCCGCTGTACTCCGCCTCCACGCACATGGTCTGTAGCGGAACCCTGAGGCCTCACGTTCTCTTCCCTGCTCTAATCACCGGAGTGCCGAGTGCGGGCACAGGCAGCGCTGAGCCAGCCCCGGAGGAGGTTGTGGAGTCGGCTTCCTGCAGGTTGTGGCTTCACACCGCAACTTTGGGTACAAATGAGGGACTTCAGAAACGGATGAGGAAGAAATGTAGACTAGAGAGAAAGGTTTGGCTCCAAGGCAGGGGCAGAGGCGGACAAACCAGAGGGCTCCGGGATCGTCCTGCTAGGCTGCACTGGAGGGCACATTACACACGACTTTGTCTCCTTCCCTGGCTCTGGAGGTGCCTCCTGGCCAGGCTCGCCTGGGCTTCCTCCTGCGGGCACATCCCCGGATCCTGGGCTTCCTCCCACGGGCCTCAGATTCTTTGGTACCCGATCGTTTTGAAGGGCGGGAGCCTTCTGGGATCTGTCTGTGTCACCGCGGGGAACACCAGCCCCTGGGGGTGTGCCAGCTCCAAAGCTGTGAGCCCAGGCAGTGAGTGCACAAGTGTGTGTCAGCTCCTCGCTCATTTCTTGGAGAACAGAGGGTATTTATTTTAAGAGTCAAAAAAGATGTTTTGACCAACCCCACTTAGCAAAATCCTGGCACTGCTACTCGAGAGAGAAGCTAAATGCCGGAGGTCAAACCTCGCGTTTTTGGCTAAAATGTTTAATCAAAACACACCTAATACCTCTGCCGGGGTGCAGAGAAGTGGACAGCCCGGAGCCACTGCCAGCCGTCCCCCGCCAGCAGTGCGTGTGCCGAGGCAAAGCCAGCAAAATAAAGAAGGTTTTCAGCGCAGCAGCAGCCAGCCGGGGAGGAAGCCAAGGCCAGCGGCTCGGGTGCGTCCGGTGGTTTCTACTGCAGGTCAGCAGCGGGTGAGGAGGCCGCGTTAATGGTGTTCATACCTGCCAGGGCGGCTGTGGAGCAGGGCTGAGGTTCAGGAGCACAGCTCGGCCACAGCTGCAGAGGCGCTTCTTTCAGGAAAGCTACTACAGGCGCCTTCTTGCTCTGAGGGGCGTTGGGTGGCCGAGGAAGGCTGGCTTTACACCCATGGCTCAGCCCTGCACCGCGATGCACCCTGTAACCCACCGCCCCACAGCGCCTGCTCTCCCGAGTGTGTCCTGACCCTTGGGGACAGCATTGTTCGAAGGTCCCTCTCTGTGTCCAGCCAACAATGGGTCTGAGAGTAGGTAGGAGCCATCACCCTCCACCCTACCCAGCCATGCCCCGGCCTCCTATGGAGGGCAGTTGTTGTGGTCACCTGCAGCCCGAGGTCTGTGGGGCACAAATGTCCCTTTGGCTGAGCATTGAGAGAGTCAGGAGTTGGGTGTGAAGACCCACACTGTCTGCAGAGCAGCCACTCCCACTGCCAGACGCCAACTGACTCTCAAGGACGCCTCTCTTCTGCTGGACGCTGACCAGGGCTCCAGGACACTTCTCCTGCAGACTTGGGCATGGGGGTTCCTAGCTGAGTCAGGCATGGTTATGTGGGCCTCCTGAATGCAGGTCACAGCACCCCACGGGGCCAGGCTGCAAGAAGGACACGCCTGCTGGGATCCTGCATCACAGGGACAGGCGGCTTCCATGTGTCCTCAGAAAAGGGCCTGGCTCCTTCCAGGACCCAGAGCAGCCTGGCCATTTTTCTTTCTCCCCAAGGCCAAGGCCCAGCTCCAACTCCTCACGTCCTCTCATCTACTCCTGGCCTCAACCCGCAGTAGCTGGCACCATGCATGGAGAGGGGCGTATTTCCAGGATGCAGCCTCTGGAGTCTTCAGAGAAGATGGATCCCACTTTTGCCCTTCTGGCATCTGGCTTGGGCCCCTTCAGCTTGTGGGCATCCCCAACCCCATCAACCATGGGAACTTAAGAAATATTCGCCTCGGTTGGGCACCGTGGCGTGGGATTTTCCTGAAGTCCGGGAGATGCATCACAGTCTCCATCTCATGCCCTGATGCTGGGCTGCCCTTCCTGGGCCTGGACCAGGGCTGAGAGCAGACAGAGGGAAGGAGAGACACAGCCTCTCCCTCTGAGGCTGGCATGACACACGTGCTGGGCCGGCAGAGCAGCTGTGTGCAAGCCGGGTCGGTGGGTTCTCAGGAGAAGAGACTTTCCTGGGTCTCCTTCTTGGCCTTCACCTTCCTCTGTCTCTTTTTTTTTTTCCCTTGCTGCCACTTTCCAAACCACAGTCAGAATCTATTAAAAGAAACGTAAAATCTCCAATCGGTTAGAATTCTCAGCGTTTAGAAACACGACCTGTTGTTGTGACAGCTGGGCTGGCGCATGAGCCTGCGTGCTGGATGCAGCACCTGGGTCCTCGTACCTCGGCTGCATGGGCATCGGCAGTGCCAGGGTGGACTCTGAGGGAGGAGGAGGAGGAGTCCCTGCGCCGGACGCTATCTGCCATGCATTACTCCGGTGCTGGTTTTGTCTGGGTGCTCCTCTAACAGAAACAGTGTGATGCGAATTTGTCAGTTCGCTTAGTTGGGAAACCGCACTGGGGCAGCCACGGACACACCCTCTCTGGAGTGCAGCATGGTGGGTTTTATAAGGCAAGAGGCTGCATCCCTGCAAGGTCGAGCTCCAAGCCGGCACTGGGCTGAGAGAAAGGTCTGGGAGGCGGCACTTGTTCTCATGGCCTTGTCTGTGAGCAGGATGGAGGGCCAAGCTCCCATGCCACCCACGGTCGCAGTTAGGTGAGAAGAGGGTGCTTTGTGATTTGGGGAATGGCAGCTCCTGCCTTAGCCTGGTCTCCCTGGACTGGAGAAGTTCCCTCCAACACCTGGCCCGGTCCTCCTCTCAGGACGCAGGATGCCACCGAGGAATGGGCTCCAGCACTGCTGCCTTTGAGCTGCTGGCCAAGGAGGAAGCAGAGGTGGGAGGGCGACCCTGGCCCTCTCTCCTGTCTCCCCCAGGTCTGCCTCCTGAGCCTGGCTTGACTCTTGGGGCTCCCCAGAGCGCTGCCTCCTGAACCAGGCTGGGGCACCTGGGGCAGGGACCACAAGGTCCTCCTCACTCCAAGCTGGACAGACAGGCAGTCATCTTTCTGGGTAAACTGCTGGTTGTAGGAGACCCTGGTGGTGTGAGAGCAGACTTCCCTCCCCTGTCCTTATGTTTTGCCCCATGGGTCCCCACTGGTTACTGAAGGGCGAGTGAGGACCCAGCAAAGGCCCAGGATATCATTCCCAGGGTTCACAGCCCTGGGACTCTCAAGAGTCCTCTGACATGGAGCACCTCTGCCAGAGTAAAGGGCGGGTCCCAGTTAACACCTGCTACAGAGAAGTTGTGGGTCTCCCCTTGCTACGGAGAGGACTTCTGAGCTGCCCCGGTGTCCATAACCTCTGCAGCTTGAGGAGGAAACTCAAGAACTAACAGCCCCTCTCACGATTGTTTTGCAGCCAATGCTGACAGATACGGAGGTGTCGTCCCAGGAAGGCTGCATCAAGAAGGTAGGCGATCTCCTGCGGGCCCCCAGGGCCATTCTTGTCTCTGGTTGGGTTACCTCATCATTTCCGTCCTCCCAACTTGCGAATTGTGTCACTTGTGTGCGTCTCAGCATGCGGGAGCAGGATGCTCTCCAAGAATGGTGATCCAGAAGGAGTTAGGAGGGTGCTTATTTTCACTGTGTAAGCGGTGGAGGTCACTCCACGGGGCACCCCGAGGCTTAACAACACAGAAGAACCCCGTACCTCTGGGAATGCGTTAGGCCGTGCATGCACACGGAAACTAAATAAACACAGGCTGTGTTTATTTAACTATCTTCACTGGATCCCCCCATGAACGGACGGGGAGGAACCGTGGGCTGTAGATTCAGCAGAGCCTCTTGCTGCACTCAGAGCTCCCAAAGAGGGCTCAAGCATTGCTGTAAATAAGCAACCCATTAGGGAAAGAAAAAGTGTCAGCGTGGCATTCTCTGCTCCTCTGCAGACTGATGACAGGTAATAGCTGGTTGGCAAACACAGGATCTGAGATCCTGAGAAAGAAGACGGCAGAGAGAGGCATGCACGGCTCTGGAGAGCGTGTGTGGGCCATGCACACTTGTCTGTGCACACCTGTGCGTGCACACTCCGAGCAGACCCCAGAAGAGGGCCTGATCCTCATTCACCTCCCAAACCCTGCACCTCCGAGGCGGAGCTCAGAGTGTGTCAGCTGCAGCATGCAGCGCACCTGGTGCTTGGGGCTCTGGTAAAATTAAACTAACAGCCCATCTCAAGCAGGTCTGTTCCCAAGCAGGATAAAATGCAGAGAGGCCCCCACAGGTACCCCATCAGGGTGCACCCCACCATGTGCACCCCACCAGGCAGCACTAGGAGCTCAGCCTGGGCTGCAGGTCCAGCGGATTCTGCAACATAGAATCTGTGCCTGGGACCCAGCAGTCCCCGAGAACAGAAAAGCCCAGCCTCACAGCCTCTGCCCAGTCCCCATCAGTGCTGACTGGTACAAGCACTTCTACAAGCACTTCTGCTCCGTCCTGCGTATCCTGTCACCACAGGCTGTGTGGCCTCAGAGGGGCCCCCCAGGGGACAAGAACTCGGTCCTCACTGCCAGAAGAGACCTGGGCTCTTCTTTTCTTCAAGTGACTGTGCCATGGCTCGAATTCCCAGTGTTCTTTCCCTCTCTCTCTGCTTTCCTGCCTCTTTGAATGCACTGGAATTTTCTCTGAGGATATAAGGTGGCCAGAGGCAGGAAGCAGTATTTCTGTTTCCCAAAGGACTGTGTTTTGGCTTCCCTGGGGAAGTGGTCTGCAGCCTGCGACCCCAGTCCCACGCCTTGTGGAAGGGGAGGAAACCCTGGCCTTCCCGCTGCAAAATGGCAGCTGGGCAGGGCGACATTCAGAGCCGGGCTTGCTGTTTCTCTTGGACGTGTCTCGGAGGTGGTCGGGTGGGATTCACAGGGGAGAGGGAGGCCAGGTGGGCACCAGGACGGTCAGTGTGGGTGCGGATCACGGCAGGAGGTCAGAAGGTCAAGTCTGCCGTGAAAGGCGGAGACAAGGCAAGTGCCGGCCGCTTCTGAACCTGAATAAGACAGGAAAAGTGACCGTGGTTACTGTCCCCTCTGCCGCTCTTCATCGGTAAATGGTAGGCACATGAGTCACCTATGGCCCAAGGTCACCTTGAGAGCTCACAATAGGGACATGGGGTGCCTCGGCCCCAGTGACCCACTCACAGTTCCCAAATGGGGTGCGTAGGAGGGCGTCTTCACCAAATGCAGGTTGGGGTGGCATGGAACAGACATGGCCTCCTGGAGGCCGGAGCAAGAGGCGGGCAGAGAGGACCAGGCAGCAATCCTGACCAAGCGGCCCCTGACTCCTCCCAGCCTCTCTCAACACTGCCCCACGGTAGGAGCTGGGGGTCCGGGGTTCTCACCCCCACTCTCCCCAGGGCACACCACGGGCTGGAACCCCACTGTCTCTCAGCCTCCAGCTGAGCTGGTAGCAGCCGTGTTTGGGGCACTGGTGTCTGCCCAGGTCCCTGGCGGGATGATCAGAACCTAAAGCTGCTGCTCAGGTCAGGACCCGGGCAGCCAGACTTGGAGAGGGCAGGGGACCCGAGCGAGGAGATTCAGTTCATGGGCAGAGAGGTCACTTGTCAGGACCAGAGATAAGGCACCTGGCCTCGTTTCCTCGCCGCAGGCAGGGCCTGTCCCATGTCTAGATGCTCTAGCTTAGTGCTGTTGGGGGCCCGGTGAACAACTAGCAGGCGGTCACTGCCCTGACACCTCACGTATGCGCTCCTATGCTGCTGTCAGGATGACTTTAGTGACTTCCTGGTGTGTTGGTTTTATAGTTGGGGCACCCAAAGATGGGCACAGTTTGTATTAAAAATGCAATGGGGAAGCGTGGGGACTGGGAAGCCTTGGTTGTGACCTTGGGCTGCTGGCATCTCGGCTTCCGCTCATCCACCTTGGGGAGGACTCTGCCTCCTGTCTGCCGTCTGCTTTGTGATATGTAACAGTTCGTACCAACAGGGGCTTCACACTGGGACGGGAACAGCGGTGACATGTTCCGAGGAAATCGCCGTTCCCAATTTTGTAAGACTCGAAGAGCAGCTTGCGGAGTGCAGGCCCAGGGAGGGTGGCTCAGGGCTCTCCGCAGCCCTGGGTATGAACCCCAGACTCCATGGAGGCGGGGCCTGCGCCCGGGGCCGGGGTCTCCTTCTGAGCAACAGCAGCCGCAGCCTGTGAACCGTGCCTGCAAGACCCCGCCCCAGAAGGGGTGGGGCTCCCGCGTGTCCACCCCTCGTGCGCCCTTTTGTTCCCTCCCATCCCCTCAATCCTCCAGTGAGGGTCCCCTGGTTCCTGCTCGTCCCTGGTCTGCGTCCCCCAGCTTCCGCCCTGCTCTCCAGTTCCCCGCGGCCCCGCGTGCGCCCAGGGCGCGTGGAGCGCGTCCCCAAAGTCCCCTGTGCGCGCCGGCCGTGCGCCGCTGGGCTGGACCTCTGCGCCTGCCCCTGGCCACCTTCTATTGAGGCTCTGTTTACCTAGGGGGAAACCCGGGGTCCCGGAGAGCAAACATCTGCGGGAGATAATCAAGCCAGCCGTCCATCCATCACCCTGGCTCCCTGGAGAGCGCGCCGGGCCCGTAATAAAAAGGCCGGGCGAAGAGGCTTTGGGGACAAATAAAGAGCCGTGTTAAGGGCTCGCTCGCGGAAAATGGATGGAAGACATTATTAAGGCTCAATGGCCGTCTTATCAAAATCCAATAGGATAGACATTTGGCAAAAGGCTTAAATTTATTCTTTGACTTTCCGGAGGGCTTGAATTTATCCGTTAACAAGAGTGTAGTCCGCCGGGGAGATGCTATCAGCTGAAGGAATTCTGATTCAATCTCTTTGGCGATATGAAAAGGGGACACGGCCCCCCGGCCTCCGCCTTTGTCCTACTCTATCTTGTTTTCTTTCACCGACTTTAAAAGGAAGGACGCGTTAATACAGTGCGACGGGGGAGCGCTGGCCCAAGGAAGTGCCCTTGCTCTTTGTATTTTTATTTTCTCCCTTTCTCCACTCCTCCTCCAATAAATGGGGATTTGCTCCTCAGGAGAAGGACTGGGACCTGGAGCAGAGGTGCCTCTTGCGAAGCCCTCAGGGTAGAGGCGGGAGACCCCAAAGGAGTGGAAAATAAATTGAGCTAAGTAAGAGTCCCACCGTGGAAGGGAGGACCCGATGGGTTCATAAATCTCTCCCCATTATCATTGCACGCAAAATGCTACAGGTCATAAAAGTCATCTGATAGCCCCGCCTGGAGGGGTCCGAGTGGAGTGATTGGTTGATAATTAGTGAAATGATTATGTGGATGTTAGACTCCCGGCCTGTCCCACTGGGCTGTTGTGTGGCCGGGAGGCATGCCTCTGGTAACAGGAAGCTTAGGGGGCGCCTGGGTCCCTTCCTGGGGACCCGGAGCTAATGAAGGATGACCAGAGCCAGGGCGAAGGGCTCAGCATGCTCCGAGAAGTGGGAGCAGAGACGGGCGGGCCACTGCCAAGTGTCCCTTTGTGCAGCAATTACTCAGAGGCCACACACCCCGAGGTCTGCACAGGCCACATCCTCATGGTGGCAGGGGCTTGGCCCTTGGCTGGCAAGAGCTCTGTGTGGCACTGCATACCCGGGGGTTGGTCCTGGGTCTCTCTGCCGATGCCTTTTCTGTTTGTATGGTTTCCTCCGGGGGAAGCAGAGGTGTTTTCTATGTGGCTGGAGCCCGAGGAGGGAGGGCAGACAATGTGGTAGGAATAAGAAAGGCAGAGACCCAGGAGGAGGAGGTGTGGCACTGCCCCGTGGGGTGGCCACAGGTACTCACAGTGCAGAGTGGGGAGGGCTCTGTGGCCACCTTAGCTTGGCGACCTCGAGCACTGTGCCTCTGAGGGGAGTCTGCGAAATCCCTGGTTGCCCCTGCCAGCCTGCCCCCTGCACTGAGCACCCACGGTGCACGGTAACTAAACTGCCATTTCTCTACAACGCTCTTTATTACCAGAAGGGAGGGGAAAAAATACACCACAGTCCCTAACCTAAGAAATTAATTTGCATGTGGGATCAGTTATGTCTTTATGAAATCAAAGTGTGTTTAGCTGCCCCGAGACAGCCCTGAGTTGATTTTGATAATCTCAGGCTGAATGGACTCGTCCCCTCGCAGTAAGCCGGGCACAAAAGGCTGGACAGGGGCTGAAAGCCCTTCGCCGACATGTCTCTCTTTCCATTGTTCGGAGCTGCTGATAAAAGAACCGGGAGTCCATTAATTCAGTGAATGAACATATAGTAAAGTCAGTCCCCTCTTGAGAACAATAATGTTGAGGTCAGCTCTGGTTACCATGGAAACTAAGTACTCCTAAGAAGTTTGCATCCTTGATTTTGCTGAATCAAAGGCTGCAAAGCAGAGAGGTGTAACTCGGCCAAGACAGCAGAAAGTCGGGCGAGCACCACCTCCCAGGCTCCCTTCCAGAGGCCCTGGGACCCCCCCTCACTGGTGGGGGGCAGCCTGGTTGGTATCTGGCTCCTCCCACCCTTCTCCTCCTCCTCCGGGGATGGAGGATGGCTTGTCACAGCGGCTATCATCCTCACTCATCCTGAACAGTGGCTTCCAGGCTTGGCACAGGGGCAAAAATCAGGTGCAGGGAGGGGCCCTCGTGGAAGCTCGGTGGCCTCTCCAGAGGCCCCCACCCTGATGGACTCTGACCTCCGCCCGGAAGCACCTGAACTGGCCTCCCAGGCAGGGCTCTGTGGCTCCTTCACCAGCTGATAAGGGTTACTAATGAGGTAGCCTGGCGGGGTGAGTTATGGGTTGCCCTGGGCTGGGGAGGACTTTATAAATGTAACCCTGCTGCCTCCCATCTTCTGAATTGAGCTGGTGCCGCCCACCCCCGCCCCCACCTGAGGAGCCCTTAAATCAGTTTAAACCATCAGATTAGGCCGGGAGAGGTGCAGTTAATTAATTTCCTGCACAGTAATTTATTACCTGCTGCTGTTGGTGTTGTCTCCAGGGCCCAGCACAGCAGACAGCGGGAAGCTGGGGCTCCGCTGTGCTGCAGAGGCCTGGAGGGACAGGAGCTCAGGCAGGCAGAGGGACATCTTTCTCTGTGGCTTTCTGTGAGAAGCAGAGGAGGTCAGCTTCCTCCATACCCAGAGGTCCTGTGTGAAAGCTGGAAAGGCCTCAGGGTGCAGCCAGGGAGGAGGCTGGGGAGGGGCACACTCTCTGGGGGGCTCCTGGCTCCCAAGAGCAGGTGGCATTAGGGACCTCTTTCTGCCCTGCTGACAGAAGACAAACCCTGGCCCTTTCCTGGGATACATGGAATGGGCCACCTGTGTCACTCCGCAGCTCAGCAGAGAGGTGGCTCTTTTCCCAGAGGCCAGGAGGCAGCCAGCCCATCACCGCCTCCCTGAGCTGGTTCTGCTTAGAACAGTGTGGCCCTTGGCCTTGAACTCCTATCCTGCCTCATGCCTCTCTGCCAAATGGAAGGTGACTGTGGGCCCCGTGTGGTCTGAAGATTGAGTAGTGGAGGAGGACGCTGAGGGCAGAGCCTGGGGCAGGGAAGTGTGTGGTAAGGGTGGTGGCCGCCACTGGCTGGGCGTGGGAACTGGGGGACCAGTGTCACCCATGATGGCCTTGGCAGCTAGAATGAGGCACCTCTGGTGGACACTCACACCCTGTCACAGCCCCGAAGAGGTCGAAGTGCGCGGCTCAAACTGTCAGGTGCCTGGGGCCCATGCTGGTCTCCAAGTCCTGTCACCCGGCAGCCTGCAGGGGGCGCTGGGGAAGCCTGGCCAGAGCAGGATACCTCTTAGCACCCCCCCCCCTTCTTGGGATTTATTGGCTACATTATCGGCTTTATAGGAGCCAGATGGAGGCGTCAATAAGCTGGGCCGCAGTCTTCAGGTGGGTGCAATATCTAGTTAATTAAACCGTGCTGCGCTATTAGGAGAGAAATATATATCAGCCCCGAGGGCCATGGGCCTCTTCTGCTCTGCGCTCACACCCTGGCCTCGGCAGAGTCCAGCGGCACTGCACTGGGCTGGTTCTGTCCTAAAGTGCCACCGAGGCTCCCAGAGCATCTGCTGTGTCTCCTTGGCATGGCCATGCCATCGCAGCCGTGAGGGCCAGGCTGGTCCTATGCAGACAGGTGTCCCAGGAGCACAGGTGCCTCTGCAGGGAGAGAACAGCAGTTGCACTAGGGGTCCAGGGGCCTGGTCGTGCTGAGCCCCCTCTGGGCCCAGGGTCCTGGGAGTGGTTCTATAAGTGAGGTGCCAAAAGGACCTGGGCACACTTCCCCTCACAGTACAGGCTGTTGGTCCCAGCCCTGGGTGCCAGGTCCAAGATCTCAGCTGGTGTCTCCCCATCCACGTCCCCCAGAACCATGCAGCTCAGAGCCTGAGGGCAGCACCTGCTATGGACACAGCCTGGGGAGGTCCTGGACAGGTAGGAGGAAGGGCCTCTCTAGGAGGAAGGGCGTTGTGGGAGGCTATGTCCTTCCCTGAGAAGCCACTGTTGTTCGAGAGCCTCACACCCCAGGCTGTGGATAATGGTCAGTGGGCAGGTCCCCAGGGAAGGTGCAGCCCCACCATCACCTGGGCAGGGCTCCCCCTTTCAGGTTTTTGTACCTGCTGCTGACACCGCAGGATGTGCCAGGTCCCCGCCTGCCCTGGCCACTGCCATGTGTTCTGGGCCTGTGGCTGGCTGGGCTTTGCCCTCTGCCTCGGCCAAGGGTGCCTGGAAGGAAACTGTGAAGGGCCAGGAGCAGAAGCAGAGGAGTGCCCATGGGGGCCGCTGGGTTCTGCCCCCAACCCTATGAGACCTTTGCCACCAAACCCTGGCACCTCATGTCCAATACTTGGCAGCCCCAAGTCTGTGCCATGCTTATCAGGCATTTGCCATGTGCCACATATACCCCGGCATCCCACGCAGGCATCACTGCCCCACTGTACTGGAAAGAAAACAGGAATCGGGTGGGTCAGGGTTTGAGGCAGCACTGAGAAGGGGAGGAGACCCTTTGTGGATGCCCTTGAATGCCAGGTGATGTTGCTGCACACACAGGGCTTCATGAGGCACAGCTGAGAACAGAGAAGGGCAAACCCGGGTCAACAGATGTATTTGTCAGCTCTTGCAGTGATGGTGCTGGGTAACAAATCACCCTTGGATGGCTGTCTCTTCCTCAGATGGAGGCTGTGGCCTTGGCCCAAAGCTTCAAGGAAGAGGCAGCCATCCAGAGCTGCCAGGCATGCTCAGGGTGCCCAGGGCCCTTTGCCAAGAGGGAGCTGGCAGAGAAAGCATCAGACAGAGGCTGAAGAGCAGGCTGGAGTGCCTCCTTGCCCCATGCTGACTAATGGGCAGCCTGGTTAACCAGCAGAGGTTAATCAGCCCTGCTCGGGCCCTCAAGAGTGGGGTTTAGATAACCCAGGGTTTAAAAGAGTATGGCAATCTAGCCACAAAGGGTAAGAAGACAGAAAAAAAGCCGGGAGCCCTAAGTGCACGTTGCTAAGTGAGAGACGCCGATCTAAAGCGATGCGCACTGCGTGATTCCAAGGCTGACATTCAGGGAGAGGCAGGGGAAAGATCAGGCCAGGGAGGGAGGACAGACCGCGGAACTGGGCGGGGAGATGCCTTGCAATGTGTCATCTCAGAGACCAGCCTTGGGGCCTTTGTCCAAACCCCTAGAATGGACAACTCAGACTCCAGGACTTTGGTTAATGGCAGCGTTTCAGTGTCGGGTCATCCTCCTGACACAGTAACCCTCTAATTGCTACAATGTGTCCAGCTGAGAGTCTGCACAGCGAGGTGGGAGGAGGAGGAGGAATCCGGGGGCTCTGTGGCTTACATTTGGTTTTCCATAAATTCAATTTTTTTCCCTAAAAAGTAAAGTCTTATTGTAAAAAGAAGTTTTTCACGCAGTAGTATGTACACACACACACACCCCTTATGAAAGACACCACGCTTAATAAAGATACGCAGGTGTGAGCAGGCTGGGAACACACAGCCATGACGGTGACTTCTTGGTGACAGTGCAGCTTGTTTGCACATCTTAGTTTTGGGGGTGTTTTGCTTGTTGATGTTGTTGGTCGCAAACCTGTTACCATGCATGACTTACCACACAGCCATCATCTGGGACTTGTGGGGTTCAGAAGCGTGCAGTCCAGGTTGCTGGCCTTTATGTGGGGCCACTGGTCCAAGTGACCCAGGTGTCTGGCTCTGATCAAAATGGATAGTGAGTGTCCACATTGCCAGCACCCGCCCCGCCCATCCACCCGCCAAGCGCCCTCGGCACACTGGCTCATTTCTAGCCGCTCTCTGAGGCAGCGCTGGAAGCCCTCTTTGGTGAGGTCTCTATGAGGTCCGATCAAAAACACAGTGAGCACTGTGACAGGGCGGGCTGGTGAGGATGGCCGCGAGTCCTCCTCTCCTCTTCACTGCATCTGGCTTTGCCCACAGTGCAGGGCCAGGGAGGCACCAGGAAAGCCAAGCTTTCTGAGTCTACGTGGGTCAGGGAGGCAGCCACCACAGTGCAACTAAAGCCAGGAAGAGGGCTCCCTAACCTGCCTCAGCAAGTGACAGGGCGCTGGGGTGAGGGTGTTTGAAAGGAGGCCTGGAGGAGGCTTAGTCACAGTGTCTTTCACTGCGATGAGTTATTTTGAACTTAAACATTCACTGTGCTTTCCAGTCGCGTGCCTGGTGTTGGGGTTGCGTGGACAGAGCGTTCCGGCCACGTCTGAGGGAAGCTTACTACTGTGTGTCCCTCTAGGCCAGGTGGCTGTGGCTGGTGTGACGTCCGAAGGGCTCTGGGTCCCCTGCAGCAGGAGCTCCAGAGGGACTCTGAAGTGGTCACCATGCGCTGCCATGCCCACCTCGCCCCCGTGCCAGGCTCACAGGAAAGACAACTTTTGGCTCTTTTAAGCCCCTGAGATTTGGACACCACACACTCGCCCTGACAGATGCCCTGAAGGAAGTCCTTGCGTTTTGTCCAGCTCTGCGGAGCCTAACAACCTCCTCCCTCCCTTCTTTCACCCCGTAAACACGTGCTTTGTACACACCTCGTGTGGGGAAAGCTATCTGGGTGCTGGAGACTCGAGGTAGAATTCTGCAACGTCTCGGGCCCTGCGGAAGCCGGAATTCTGCTGAGCCTGTCACTGCGGACCTTTATTCTTTATGGTCCTGACTCCCTGGAGCCCTCAGCTGCAGCATTCCAAGGCAGACACTCTGCGGAGAGGGAGCCTGTTTCCGAGACCCTCTGTGCTTCGGGCTTGGCAGGGGGGGAGTGTCCAGCATGCTGCAGTGGACACAGTGATGTCCCTGGCTGCCAGAGATGCCCTGGAGACCCTCTGGCGGGCACCCCTTCTTACCCTGTCGGACACTAGGAACCTCGAGGATAACAAATTGATTTGGGCCGGAAAAAGTAGGGTTCTTAGCAGGTTCCGTGTGAGTGTGCCGGGTTCTTATCTTGCTTCGTAATGCTCCCTTCTTGGACTAAAGCCCTCTGTGGGCTTGGCCTCTTGGTATGCTAACAGGATCTGCTCTCCCCCACACTCACGTCCATCAGCCGGCCGTGCTGGTGAGCGGTTTCTTCTCACCAGTCAGCAAGATGTTTCTCCAGTGTGCAGTTGACAGATGAAGTAATCAGGGCAAGACACATTATTTCCCGTTGCAGCCTTGCCTCTTATTTCTGAGCAATGGCCGCCGCTCGGAGGATTAGCTACAGAAATGTTTGCGTTGCCGGGGACGGAAAACGACCACATAAAAAAGGGTCTGGGGTGGCGTTCATCACGGATCAGCTGGAGCGAGGCGGGAGAGGGGAAGACAAAACCACCCCGGGGCGGCCGAGGCGGCCGCGCACGCAATGCCCAGCGCCGTGCGCACAGCGCCCACTGCCGCGGCCAGGCCGCAGCTTCCTTCTCGCCTTCCAGACGCAGGCTCTGGGTTACCAGGGCCCCAGAAGGGCAGATAATTATCGGAAGAGAATCTGAAGCGTGGGCACCCCAGAGAGCTGCAAAAATAAAATGAGGAGGAGGAATTTTGAATAGATTTCCTCCCTTTGTGTTTCTGTTTTGGACAAGCAGTGCGGAGGGAGGAGAGAAAGGGAACTGGAGGATGGAGAAAAACATCGCAGACCTCAGGGGGGCTGGTGGTGGGCTGCCCGGGTGGGGCAGAGCTGTGGACGCGGGACATCTTTTTCCCGTGTCTGCCCGTGTGTAGTCCCCCGGGGCTCCAGTGTACCTGCTGCTCACCAAAAGGAGGGTCCCGCAGGCCAGAAGGAGAAAGTTCTGGACCGGGATTGTGTCAGGAGCTCTGGTGGGGCCGGCCAAGAGGGGACACAGTCAGGGCCAACACGGGGTGGCATTGCCTGGTGACTTCACGACTTCGTTTGCAAAGAGAGACCAAAGGGTAGGTCTAAGGCCAGGAGGCAGAGGCCACGCTGCCTGGTCACAGAGGCAAGGGCCTTGGGTTACATCTGGACTTGCCAGGCCCCTGTACAAGGCGACTGTAGCCTCCTTCTCCCCAACTTCTGTCCACAAGAAAGCCACAGTGTGGGCAGGTACACTTCCTTCATGGCCACCCAGCTCCCCACCCCTGAAGACTCCGCCTCAGAGGGCAAGGGGTGGGCAGGACAGGACAGCCAGCAGCCCTCACCTTCAGGGTCCCAAACCCAAGTGGGGGACCCTGTGTGAGCCTCCAGCCTGGGCCTAGCTTGCATCTCCCCTCCTCTCCTTGGCTCTCAGCAGCCACTGAGCTGTGACTCTGGCCCCCAACCCAGAGTTCTCATTCAACACCAGCTGTCATTAGTAAACTTCCGGCCTCCAGAGGGTCACTGGGGTGCTCCTCACAGCTCAGTCCCTTTCTGGGCTCCTGGACTCCAGCATCACAGGTCGTTTGGGCTTCTCTAGAGCCACCCACCCCACATGGATTCCATCCCAGGAAATATGACTTGGCTCCTGGACCTTGCCAAGCCCCTTTCATTCCCAGGGTGGAACAACTCAAACAG